ATTTATGTGAAGGGTGCTTTACCCGAGAATGACGCCTGCTTTTTGTCACGCTTCGACTTACTCAGACCTTTCTGCTGGGGCCTCGTTAGTATTAGGCACTCAACACATGTATATTGAGAGAATTGTTTTGGCACCTGTTAGGTTAAACCATAGGACATTGTCCTTGTACTTTAAAAACAGTCAACAGCAGGCCTGCCGGGGTGGCTCCGTCGGTTGAGGGTCATCCCGTGTACTGGAAGGTCGCCGGTTCGAATCCGGTTCAAATCCAGTCAGGGCACATGCCCAGGTTTTGGGCTCCCAGTTGGGGGTGCCTGCAGGAGGTAGCCGATCCGTGTTTCTGTCTCACATCTGTGTTTCTCTCTCTGTCCCCCTCTCCCTTCCTCTCTCTCTAAAATCAATATATATATGACCACAGTCAGCAGCAGTGAGCTTCTCTGACCCAGGGCTGTACGCCTCACAGTGCAACGTCGGGTGGGCCCTGGCGCGGCAAGAGAGGTGGGGTTCCTCGTCCTGGAGGATTTTGTTTTTATTAACGAGCAAGAAACACGTTAGTGAGGTGATCAGACTGTCCAAGGACCCAGGGCCGGGGCTTTCAGGGCCAGCGTTGTTCCTGGTGTGTGAGTTAGTGAGAAGTCAGCGCTCTGGGTTTAGAATTCAGTGCCGTGTTAGTTGATGATGCGTGACCCGCAGGTGTTTTTGTGATCCGTGACTGCATGTGACCGGTGGTGTCACATGTTTTGAGAAATGAGGCAGAACCAAGGTCAGGCCTGGGGTGCCTTTTCCATGCATCGTCCTGGTTTTGCCAGTGTAACTACCTTCTGGATGCTTTGTGACTTCTCGGCACAATTTCTTATTATTTTAACATTTATATTTTTCTTCATAGTCAGCAGTTTACATTTCAGTAATCATTACTTTTATATTTTTTATTACACTGTGGGATGTAGGCTCCATTTCATTTTATTATTTTTCAGATAATTAGAAGCAACAGTATGTCTAACCATTTAAATAGCGTTTGATGCTAAATTTGAACATGTTGAAACCATAGCATAATTTTTATATTTAAGGTTATGAGAGAAGTTTCTGTAGGAATGAAAGATAGGAAGTGGAAAGTTTGGGGAGAGAATAAGGCTAAGGCTAAACTTAAGGAAGAACAGAAAAATAAAAAGACCAGGAAGAGTGGGAACATTTTTTGAATTGGTAAGAGATGGAGAAAAAAAATTAAGATTTTTTTGAAGAGCAAAAAACAATTATTATTCCTAAAGTGAATATTCTGCATGCATTTCAAATATTTTAAATTGAGAAATTATAGAGGACAACAGCTTAATAGGCTAATACCCTATTATTATTTTTTTTTTTAGCATTCCCACTTAATGGATAGGAAGGAGGAGGTATACATACTCCCAGTGTGATAACCCCGGGTCTGTGTAGAGATATTTGAAACAAAATCTCTGAACTTGCTTTCAGAGTCTGAAGGGTCTGTTGTTACTTACAAAGCGCTCATTCCCACTGGAAGGTCTGGGGCCTGGGTCTTCCCAGCCCCCTCGGGAAAGGGTCGGATTCCGCTAAGTATTAAGATCTGAACAATCAGGCGTGGCCTTCCCATAACCTTCCCTTAGTTTTCCTACTCAACCCAGGATTCTGCTCTCACTGGGTGACCGCTCGGTGCTGGGAAGAGCACCTTTCATTTATTTAGCTTTTGCTTGTAGCTGGCTATAAACAACTGGGCCGAATTGTTTCACACGGAAAAGAAATGTTTGACTAAATTACCCGAAGAGCCTTTTGATAGAGTCGCCGTTCCACCCCGATGCGTCCACTGGCTTTCGTGGCCAGAACAGTATCATCTCAAAACCATGCGCACCTCCGTGTGGCTCCTCTCCCCGGTTACAGTGTAAGAGGGGCTGTTCCTGGGCGGGACACTGTCTTCTGCTCCTGTTAACCTTAGGTGGGCTTGTTGGTTGTGGGTCCGCAGTGGAGGGGATGGGAAGGAGATACGCAGCTGGCCGCCTCCTGTGAAGCATGGCTGGAGTTTAGCAACAGTGATTCACTCGCTTGAGTTCAAATGGATAAATTCATACACACTCTGCCCACATCAAATCCTTCAGCTTGTAACTGACCGGTCCTATCTGACTTTACTTTTTATTTCAGAAAAACCTTAAGGCGGAAAACGAATCCAAGTAAACAGCAGGGGCGGGACTCAGCCTCACCGTTGCCCGTGGGACCCTGTGAGGCTGGGTCCTCGGGGCTGGAAAGTGTATGCAGTTGGCAGTTCTCCCACATCAGTCGGGTCAGCGCCATTTGTAAAGAGGAGGCAGCTCTTCGCCGTCCCCTGGGTCCTGTTCGGAAGTTTATTCTGGGAGAATGTTCCAGGGAACGGTGACGAGGGTGTTCGGTTTACATGCGTTTTTACGGAGACACCTTGGTCCTGGGGTTCTGACCCAGGCCTGGCTCCCTGGCTTCTCAGAAAACCAGCTCGTCAACCTGATGGGCCGAGTGCGTGGCCTCCCGAAGCTTCGGACAAGGGTCCCCATAGCGACTCCCCTTTTCCCCGCACAGACCGATGAGCCGGCCGCACAGGGAGCCTTTGGGGCGCTCTCAGCTGCTGCGGGTGCATCGGGAGGGGAGGTCCAGGGAAGAGAGAGTGGAGAGCGAGGCGGTGAGGGGACAGAGCAGACTGTCCGCAAAAGCATCAGCTACTCTCGTGCTGGCACTTGGGGTATTTTTTCGCCGACTCGGCCATGGAGTGTATGGAATCAGCGTGTTCTTGCCTCATTTAAAGGCTGTTCAGGATGAGTGTGGATTAGTAAGAGAGCCATTCTTAAGGGCTTTTGAGAAATATATTAGCAATGGTGCACATCACAAATAATTTTATTTCCCGCAAAATTTCAGTTACATGGAGCCTATTGGTAGTTATAGGTAGAAGCACAAATAAATACAAACCGTGTGAGAGCAAGCCAAAACTAATGGTGACGTGGCGGCTGTCCAGTAAAACCTGAGCACTTTTATTACCGAAAGCTACATTGGTTATGAAAGTAGTGAATGTTTAACACGCACATTTATGCAGTGCTGATATATAGAAATGGAAAGGCGAGGAGGCCAGGGGGAAGCAAACAGCTCTATGAGTTACAAGCTGAAGGTCATAACAGACTGTCGTGGCTGCCCCCCCAGCTCAGGGCGTTTAAGCGACGCCAGAGAAGTCAGAACGACGAAGGACAGTGAACGACTGTGAGCTTGGAGCAAGATGAGATGGAGAGTTCTGGGGGCTAGAAAATAGATGGCTTTGGAGGCTGTGGCCAGGAATTCAGAGTCCATTCTAAGCGCAGTAGAAAGGGTTTTAAATAGAACACTATTATATAATTTATATATTTTTAATATATTTTTTTAATTTTTCAATTACAGTTGGCATATAATAGGAGTTTCTGGCGCACGCCATGGGGACTAGGCACCTGTATAACTTGCGAAGAGCTGGGATCGCATGTTAAGGGACCAGGGCCGCCTAGCAGAGTGTAAAGGAAGCTCTCGCTCTAGGCATTTGCAGTGCGCAGGTCGGATCACACTCCACAGAGAAGAGCTGTTGACTGTTGTTTTTGGGCAAGACAGAGTCTGCTGGGCGCCACCTCGCAACATCTGGCGGGGCAGCGTGCCAAGAAGGACGTGGGATTTCAGCCCCCCCCCCCCCCCGTCCCCCCCCCGCCCCCCCCCCCCCCCCCCCAGTCCTGGGGCACCTGAGGCCTCGGGCAGGTGTGGCAATGCGAACGTGTCCCAGCAGCTCGCTGCTGAACTGGGCTGAAGGGCGCCTGCTCTGCCCTCTGTCTCTCACTGATCGGATGGATAAGAAGGTCTTGGCGAAAACCTGCTTTCCCCCTTTGGGCTGGTTGTTGGGAGGGAGTTTTGAAGACATCATTAAATGTTTGCTGGGACTTTTCGTGGGGATATGGGGTCTTTTCTAGGTAACTTGGCCATCGGCAACTCAGTGCCAGTCATCCTCCTTTCTGTAGTCGGTGCAGCCTTTTCTGCTAGTGGCCCAGCATCAGAATAGAAAGTTTTGAAGTGTTGCCCGGCCGGCATGGCTCAGTGGTTGAGCGTCAACCTATGAACCAAGAGGTCATTGGTTCGATTCCCGGTCAGGGCACTTGCCCGGGGTTGTGGGCTCCATCCCCAGTGTGGGGCATGCAGCAGGCAGCCGATCAATGATTCCCTCACATCATTGATGTTTCTATCTCTCTCTCCCTCTCCCTTCCTCTCTGAAATCAATAAAAATCTATTAAAAAATTTTTTTGGAGTGTCGTTAGCAATGGCTTAAGTCCACGGAGATCCCACAGCCACATGCTCATGATCCTGTGTGGGGGGCAACGGTTTCACCTCCAACTGAAAGGTGGCTGTGCGGTGACATTGTTGGTGCAGTTAGGTCCTTGTGCGGTTGAAGCTCAGCAATGAACTGCTGCACGAAGACCTTCATCGCACAGTCAGGAAACACAGAGGCCAGGAGGCAGCTGGATTCCTAGTCTTTGTGGACGCTATTGGCTTCGACACTTCCCCGGTCCTGGCTCTGTTTTGCAAGCCTGCATTTGAGCCTGGAGAATTTCTCCACATACATGTCGCAAGTCTGGCTCCAGCACATCCATCACCGCTTTGCTTTTGAATTACAAAGTTAACCTTAAGACGCGAGCCTTATGCGGGGCCCCGCGCTGCCTGCAGACGGGGAGCCCCCTGTGATGAGATCAGGGAGTGCGGAGAGGAAGGTAATAGCAGGAAGGATCGAGTGGATGAAAAAATGGTTCTTTTCCATTAAGCGGGACCTGATGTGTTTTTCATGAAGCAGGCATCAGCTGAAAGAGAAATATTTTCTCAACCACAGATAGGCTGATGGTGAGGGCGAGGGGCAGTGTGGTGGGGCCAGGAAACCTTTCTCATGTTGGTAATGACCCTGTGTTTTGTTAGCACCCTTGGACTTCACGTGCTGTTCTCTTCTCCATCTTCAACGCTGTGCTGCTTCTTTGCAGGTTTGCCAAAGATGCAGGTCATCAAGAACTACACCGGGACGCCACCCCCCGCTCCCCAGGCGGGGCCCCCGCTCCACATCCAGGCCGGGGACACGGTGGAACTTCTGCGGGGCGACGCGCACAGCCTGTTCTGGCAGGTACGATAAAGGCCGCCGGGTGGACGTAAGGAGTGGCCGGTCGCTGCTTCAAGCACAGAGCTCGCGCCTTTAGAAACTGCATGTTTCAGCTTCAGAAATTTTACATGATGTGGGGGGAACTAGTTCTTATTAACCTTCCTCACATCGACCGATGCCAACGGGGCAGTGAACGTTAGCACGCGCCGGTCATGCTCCTGCAGGTAAGGCTCCGGCCTCAGGCTTCCCTGCCCCGCAGAGCGCTGGGTCTGCGGAGGTTCCCCGGTCAGTCCCTGCTCTGTGGGCCGTGACTCCATGTCCTCGCCTGCTGCCTCTCCCGTCTTGGGGCCCAGGTTTGTCCCGTGTCCTCCCCTCTTATGATCCCGGGAGGGGTGCTGATTTTCAGTCTGTTCGGCTTCTTACTTGTCAGGCGGGAATGATGACTTCCGATCCTCTTACACTCGGGACTGGAGGCCGCAGCCTCTTTGTTACCACGTGGTGCTGCTTCCTTCTCCTTCTTCGACATTGTTACCTGTCCTTCCTCTCAGCAGACTCGGGAGCATGGAGCTTTCCTGGGCTGATGGTAGAATGATGGCTTGGAAGCTCTCAGGAGGAATGTGAACTGGTCGATGACAGCGCGTGTGTGTCTGATGGGGGGAGGAGATGTGATAGGAACAGGGCAGCTCATGTCAGGACAGAGGAAAACAATTAGCACGTTTATTTCAGGCCGGCGAGGGTGTATTGCGTGTCAGCCCTGTCTTCACCACTCAGACACGGCTCGCACCCCGTTACCGGCTCCGACGGCTGCTTTGACATCGGGTCTCCAGTCTTTGGAAGGACCGTTCACGCTTGCTGGCGCTGGCAATGTGTTTGAATTTTCAGTGATGAGTTAAAAGTGCATGTGGCATTTCCGGCAAAGAGGTGGCAGGAGTGGGAGATGTCCTACAGGTCCCTCTAAGCTGATTCGGAGGAATCGGCGCGAACAGATGCTCTTCTTGGCTCTGGATCGAAAGGAGCCAGGGGAGAGGAAGGACAGCTGGGCTCAGGTCGGGCCTCTGCAGCCACTCAGCTGCGTGGCTGGGCGGCACATGCCCCACGCGGCTCACTGTCTTCATTTGCTACTCGAGGAGGCCTGGGGCCCAGCGGTGCTCACATCTCCGGCTGAGCCCGCTGGGGGGCTTTGCAAAAATGTCAACACATAAGCCCCCTTCCAGGGGTTAGGCTGCAGTCGGTCTAACTGAACCCAGGCGAGAACAATTCATATGGAACCCCAGGTACATTTAATGTGAGCCACTGACTAGATGACAAGCCCATTGATACGATTCCATGGTCGTTATGGCCATTAGCCCCAGCTCACCAGTTAGTTAGTCATTGGTAATAAACCAGCTTATTACGCATGTCTACAAAACATGGTGTTACAATACACGCAACACTTTGGCTCTGATAATTACCAAACAAAGGGTACATTTTCAAAGAACTAGCATGCAATTAAAGTGTACTTGCCTCAGCCTTCATACTGAACTTGACTGACTTGTTTTCTTTGATTCACAAGGCACTTTGAGGCCTTGCAGTGCTCCCGGGCTGTCATGATACAGAATTAGACTTTGCTGTATGGTCGGTACCTATGGCAGGCACCTGTAGGAAACGGGCCTGAGTGTGGCCTGACCAATGGAATGATCTGGAATGACACTCTGTCCTCCTGTGAAAGACGTTGCTGGTTGGACCCTTTGGAGTCACGTGAGTCCGTAGGGACGTTCACGGTGGACCCACATGCGTCATTTTGCCAGTTTCATGCTCAGACAGGTGCCTCGTGGTCTGCATCCTACAGGAAGTGACTCCTGCCTGGGCTTTAACACCTGCTTCTGAGCAGATGGTTTCTCAGCACCTCTCCCGCTGCTGCCCAGCTGGTTCGTCCTCGTTTGAGGTTGCAGGGAGTTTCCACCAGGGGAGCCAGCGGAGGCTTGTCTTCCGGGGCTGGAAGGTAGGAGAGTGCAGCTCACTTTGCTGAGGGTTAGTCACCGACTCTGCCATGAGCTAGCAGGATAACCTTCAGGAGATGATAGAGCCACTGAGGGCCTCAGCTGTATCATCTGTGAAAGGCAGAATAGAGTAAATACGTGCTCATGACTGCATATGGAATGAAAGCTGTCATGTGCACAAGAGTTCTGTCGCAGTGCTCTTACATGGAAGCTCCTCCCTGTCAATCTGTCTGTCATCCCATCCAGATACTAATAACATGCCTACTACGTGTCCAACTCCGTGTTTCGTACTGGCAGGACCCCCAACAAGACAACTGGTGTCTAACCTCGTAGTCTTAACCATCTAAGGAATGATTGGAGCTCTCGGATGATGAGATCTGTCCTGTTCTAAGTTTTTGGGGGTTTTTGTCCGTCACCTTGTCACCCGCATATCCAGCGTTAAACCGGTGGAGAAGAATCTCGATTAGTTCTTGGGATGGTACAGCGGCTCGGCATTGGAGTGTCAAACACGGCTTTCGTCCTGGTCGCGTGCTTGGGCTTATTTGGAAATGTTCAAGAAAGGATGCTTTGCTCACTAGACTGCTCTCTCCTCTGTTTTTTTCAAGTGAGTCACTTCCCACGTTAGTGTAGGAAGTCGGATATTGTGGACTGACACGTTTTCTGAATACTCTGTCCAGAATGCAGATCGTCCCCTGTCTGTCAGGAGCTTTCTCTGAATAGCTATCAGTCTCGTCTGTCTCATTATTATAACCACAGTAATTTCAGTGCTATTGAAGCGGGTGGGCTCTCTGCGGTTTTATTGTAACTCCTGTCAAACAATGAGTTGCCAATTAGCTGGAAAAACGGTCTCTGTTAAATCTTTGCATTGAGGAGACATATTTGGCAACGTTTTCTTTCTTCTTTGTTCTCTTCTCTTTTCTTGAAAGTTCTGTGAAACTGTCTTCAAGTGAAGTGAGTAGAGAAGAGGAAACTGGCCAGTTAGGGCGGTTGCCCCGTTCAGGCGTGAGGCATCCTCTGGGCTGAGTGTGACAACAGTGACAACGTGGAGAACAGTTCTGATCATGTCACTGGCTGAGGCTAAACCTGTTGCTTTCAAGTCATTCACAAGGGTTTAGTAACGAAGGTGAACATGAAGAGATTGCTCAGATTAGAAACGTTATTTTCCCAGGGGAAAAAATATAGATTATTGGGGGGGAGGGGAGTGGAGAGAGAGAGAGAGAGAGAGAGAGAGAGAGAGAGAGAGAGAGAGAAAGAGAGAGAGAGAGAGAGAGAGAGAGAGAGAGAGAGAGAAACAGGCAAATGTAAAATCATCCATGTCATATATGGTTTCTATACAATAGAGTGCTTCATATGTGTTTTCTTCTTAGAATTAAGCTTGCGAACAGTGAGGGGTTTTATTTGCTCCATTTCATTTATGAATGCCCATTGTTCCATAGGGAGAATTTTGTAAGCTAATTGGAACCAAAAGGCAATTGTAAGCGGTAGAACTGTAATCCGGGTGCCAAAAAATAAATTTTATCCACAACCAAAGTTAAATAACCTAGAAAACAGTCGTGATACTTCACACTTGCAGACCAGGCATCCACGTGGTCTTTAATCGAAGAAGTGAACACGTGTGTGCACACATTCTGATCAACCCGCAGGCATCCCCAGGCAGAGGGTAGATGCGTTCTGTGGTTTCAAGGAGCCAAGTGCATCCACCCATAGGAGGGCATTTGGGAATTAGAGTCAGGCTCTCCCCGGACTTCCGGTCCCCTCCCTTCATCCCAGGCGTTAGACCACCCTCCTCTGCCTTCGGAGGGTTGTTCATGATTGTTAGCACGTCTGAGGAAAGCACGACTTTAAAGCAGTCTCGTCCTGTGTTGGTAGAACAGTCAGGAATCAGAACCTTGCTTTGTGTAGCAGTGTTTTGCTGTAAAGATTTTTGGAAGTCTTTGCCTCTAAGAAAAGAATGAAAAGTTAGGAAATAAGTTGAGCTTTTGGAGAATCTCAGGAGGAAGGACGCACCCTGCCCCCTGACTGCAGAGGCATGGAGCCTGGGGGGGGAGTACGGGCCGGGGGGCGGCTCTTGCCTTGGCCCAGGCAACAAGGTGTTAACCTCCGCTTTCCCACGTCTTCACACACCAGACACTGTGTCCCCAGTGCAGCAAGGCGACCCCTGTCTTCCGTCACCTTGTCAAGGATTCCTGCTTCCCACATGACTGCTGCATTTCGTGTTCAAACAAACAACAATCCAGACTTTTTCTTTTTTTTTTAATAGATGTGTTTTTCTCACTTTAACCTGGGGGGGAAAAATGAAGGGTTCAGTGGGTGGAATCTTTTTCAAAAGAGGTGTGTTTTCTCAGTCCTTCAGCCCTTTCAGTCCTTCTACCTGAAATGTCCTTCTACCTGCGTTCTCTCCGCTACATCCTTTATCATCGAGGCTCAGCTCGATTCTGCACCGTCTCTGAGCCATGAGGGCTTCCATCAGACCCCCCACCGTGCTGTGCCTAGTGGTCTGTTCACCCTTCTCCCTGCCTGGTTAGAGGACCTGTGCCGAGCTCCTGTCCCGAGACAAAAATAGGCATCCGTCCCCGGGCTTAGAACCGATATCTGTTGAGAGCTGCTATTTTCAGAGCCTGTTATTTACAAGTTTTCACATTCACTGTCTATTAACTCAGGTTACTCTTCACGTTGTTATTTGAGAGACCATTAAAATAGTCATGCATCTCATCAGATCTGAGTGCATTTCTGTTCCCTCGGGGTAGGCTTAAAGCAGCTTAACCTCGTGGCCTCAAATTCCTCACCAATCAAATGGAGACTTGAGCACTTAAAGGACGCTCGCACAAGGTGGTGTAAAAAGTCACAGGAAGCAAACTCGAAAGAAGAAGGAAAAGGAGCCAGAGCAGGCGTCTGTGTGACCGCTGGTCACTTTGAAAGCTATGCTTCATTTCCCAGAGGTGGGACATGAGGGCCAGCTTGGTTTTTATTTATTTTTTTTAATTTCATCTTCCCATTTAATACTCAGAGAGTTTCACACATACAAGGGCTCACAGACCACTCTAC